TCTCAGACTTTGAAGCTCACAGTTCTTATCAGATCTACAGGGAGGTACATCTATTGTTGACGTTGAATTGGCCTTCTGGGAAGTAAAGTCAGTAAAGTACTTTATGTTGGCTTTGTTTGCTAATAGTGATTTGGTGGATATGTGTCCATTCAAATTCACCTTTATTTCCTTATTATTTACTTAACAGAAGTTTAAAATAAGTGTAAGCATGTTTTGGGGCTACCCTTCAAATGTAATGAATCTCTACGGGGTTAATGTTTACAATCAGCAGTTTAGCACATTTGACATCACGTGCCAATGTTCTGTAATTCTGAAAAAAGTAAACCATACAAATATTTCTTCTTTTGATGTACACTCGAGTTTGAATAAATACAGTGGGCCAGCAAAGTGAAATGACACACAGTCATCTATAAAGGAGCATTAATGTATTGTCTATTGGTCTTATTCTCCTTAGATTTAATTAGAAATACTGTACATCTGTGGTTTGCCCACAAACTGAGACACACTGTTTCATATAAATATAAAACGCAACATTTAACAAACACATGTCACATGAGACGTTATGAAAATTGGATACTGCACAAACACAGAATTCCTTCACACCTCCTCTTTCTGCATTTCTCTTTATTCCTCTTTACATTTCTGTCTCTCAACGCAGCTTGTTAGGATTTCTGCTTTCATCAGCAAAGAGACAGACAGGACTAGAAAGCCAAAAAAATCCAATGTTCTCCCGACGCGTCTTCAACCAATCTACTGCCAAATCAGCTGACAACCCTTGTTTCTGCACAGCTTCATCTCCTTCTAACATCGTCTTTGTGATCTCTTTTAACCAACTCGGGCTACATCAAGTCGAGGTTCTTCAGTGCATTCGTTTGTTACCCACATTTTGCACTCAGTTCAGATAACGTTGACCCGATTAATTCTGCAAAGTGAATCTGTTTTTGTTGCTGGTGTGAAACTGACTGACTAACTGCTAAACTCATTATGTAAATATTCAATCTGTTCTCGGTGATGGCTATAGTGTGGGCTGTAATCACGTTATTTTCACATCAAGCCGACCCATTTCTGCCGTTTGTCTGTACGTTCGTGTGTCCAAAGTACAAACAAGTGGCCGGCTCATGCAAGGGACTCATGGCATTATGGTTTGGTTAAAAGAAGGTTAATACACTTGATAGAAGAAGGTGTGATCACGTCACTGATGGGCATGTAATCCGAGCCCAGATATGTTGATTTCCTGTGTCCTTTGGCTGAAAGCTTAGCCAAGACTCAAAAGGACCACCGGTTTTTACATCAGTGCCATTATCTGGTTGTTTTAAAGACTTTATTGAATGTGTGCACACTTTTTGTACAGCAGGTAATTGCATAAACTAGGTATGTGATGCAAGTTGGGAAAGAATGAGTCAAAGCTTTCCATCTTCTAAACTGAATAACTAAATGTATACTGGCAGACTTTTAATCCAAACTCTAATAAATCCACCATAAGGGAGGAAATGAAGAACTATTGAAACACTTGACACATTTGAGCCAACAAAACACGAGAACCAATTTATTTTTAATAGAAGTGTCTTTTTGTACAATATTGTGAGTATTTGAGACTCTTTAGGGAATAGAGAAAGTGGCACAAAAACAAAGAAAAGTCGTGCTGAGAACTGCAAACTGTTGGTGGTAAGAAAGAAACCCTGTGAGAGTGAATAGCGCCCCGAAATGATTTTGGGTTTAAAATGGTCCAACTGTGTAAAAGGCTCTAGTTGAACGAGAGCAGTTATTTCTCACTGGAGTGTCTTTTATGTGGCTCTAGCTGGCCATGCGATAACACAGCAATCAATCCCAGACCTTGTTGGGAGGGCGGCTTCCCTCTGAGCCTCCAACGCAGCCCTGGAGCTTCATCTGGAGAGAATGTGATCTGATCGTGATCCCACCCACCCCCAGGAAGCACATTAACAGTTGATCATGCTGTGAAGTCTGGGTTTAAGATAACTTTGACTCCTAAATAAAAGAGGGAAATCATTAGCCTTTTATTAATGAGCTGAAATGTTATTGCATGAGAAAAACAGAGGTACACAGGAAATGTTAACTCCCAGAAAAACCTAGGTTTTACAATACCTTGAATAATACAATCCATTAAGAGGAGAATCTGCGCTTCTGTGCAGATCAATGTGTCTCTTCGTCTTCGCCTCACACTCTTCCTCTGCTCGGAGAAAAAGGAGACAGACGGGCGGCTTTGGTTCATGCTGCCAGGAGATCTAGGAGGTCTGACTGGGAGCAGATGCAGCAGTTATGAGACAGTCATGTTTGGAAAGGGAAGGATTTGAGGATCCTGGCAAGGCTCTGCGCTGGTGGGAGGACCAGTTGGAAAGGGCCAGAACCTTTCAGAAAGGGTATTCAGGATTATAGAGCGAGAGAGGAAATCATTAAGAGGGAGAGAGACGGTGAGGGCGAGAGATTAAAAAAAAAAAAAGGAAAGAGGAAGTCAGGATGAGAAAATGATTTAACCAACCAACACACTTCTAAATGAGCACAAGGAGAACAAAGAAAGGAAGTCTAACGTTCACACTGGCAACATTATTGTACACTTTTATCTCGGCTAAATACGGTGAAATGATTAAATCCGAGGGATAAAGAAAAGGCTTACAAGTTTCTTTAGCTCCTACAGTTGCTACGTTTTTCGGCTGTCAGACATTTGGAGTTTTGGAAATGCCTCATGGTTTACCTCTAAAACTGAATTTGTACAAGTTTTTCTTAACATATACTATTTTTCTGTGAGAGAAATATATAAGCGTTATCTCAACAGTGAGAAGAAATAAGAATTTGAATCATTGATCTACTCGTTAGTCCCAGAGCGATTCTAGTCTCTATTTTCTCATCACTTACGAGGTAAATCAACAATCACTGTCTTACATAAATCCCTAGAATTTTAAACGGAGACGCAGCTGTGCGAAAGGTAGATTAACAATTCATGAGTCTGCTACGTGCCCTGTTATGCACAGTGGGAAGTAATGGTGAGTCAGCAGACCTAAGAGAACAACACATCCTTTATCCGTTTCCCAAACCACGATTCACCGTCACATGTCAACCCCGGAGTATCAGACCAAGTTTCTCACTTATTGTATCTACATTTGATTCACATTGTAGTAGTCCCGCTTTGACCTACAGTGAGTGTGATAATGTTTGTTTTAGTGTGACAGTGTCCTACGGATACTCAAGATAAGATAAGATGGACCTTTATTGATCCCCGTGGGGAAATTCAGTAGTTCAAACAGTAACAGGGTAAGGGTGAAAAACAGGATAGCACAGATTCACACAGATTAATAAAATCTAAAATAAGATCAAAGATACAAATAATAATGAGAAACTCTGAGGTAAGAAATAAATGAAAATGGACATATATACATATAGAGTCATATATACATTAGACTCATGGGTCACACACTAATTGAAACCAAGTCAGTGTGGCTGACTTGTTCCTCATCCCCTGGTGTCAGTCTAAGTGGAAAATCATTGATCGGGCTCTTTAGATCTGACCCTTCTCTATTGTCCGTAGAAATTAGAGAAAGCCTTTCTCATTAAATCCAGTTTGTGTATTATGGGACTGTCAATTATATTCTATTTTCAACAGCACTTACATTACCTTTAGAGTATCTAAAATATGAGATATAAAATAATCTACATGAATAGATGATTACACCTCAATGAAAGATTTCCCTGTAATAGCAGGAACTTGATACATCACATCATTTACTCTACAGCAACTGCAATGAGAGTTGATGGCATCACTATCATCTACTGGTAACAGCGCTGAGTCACAGAAGGGGCTGGGTACCATACAAGACTCTTTAATACACTCAGGGTTGTGGTTATTTAAATAAGCTTTGAGCCTATTAACGCCCTCTAGTGGCCTGGAATGATTTATAATATTATCAGAGTACTGTATATTAACCCCACACACAGACTGAAACATCATGATAGACCATGCCGTTTGTATGGGTAGATGGAAATATTTAAAAACAAAAATCATGTAATGAAAAGGCAGAATTCCTACCAATGTGAAGAAATGATGTGAGGATAATACAGCTGTTCTTTGAATGTTCTATATATTCTCATAACTCAGTGTTTTTATTTAATTAACGGGAACATTTATGCCAGGAAAAAAGTAATTTGGGCTATATTAAAGCAATGCTTCAACTCAACGCCAATGACTGACCTTCCTTTCTGCAGTTACCCCAATATTAAAATCATAAATATACCCAAAGTAAGACGGGTAAAGCTTTGCTCAAATTTGGTATGTGACTATAAGCTGATGCTTTTATCTGAAGTAACGTCCAATAGTGAAATTAATCATAAATATTCAAACTCAGAACAATGGGGAAAAAGCAGATTTTCACTTCAAAAAAGACAAACCATTGTTGGTGATGGTGCATTTGTTTCAGATGAGTTAACCCCTTTAAGTTCTACAATTTGGTGTTAGAGAAGTGTATTTGCATGAACTAATGATTGATAATGTACTGAAATTTGCTAGTGAAGACATTTGAAACACTATCGGTCAGTACTGTGACTGGACTGTTTTCATAGAGTTTAGCTGAGGAGTGGGATGGGGGCGCTCGTGCCAGTACGCACATGCGCATTCGGTGGGAAACACGATTGAAAACGGGCAGCTATGCCGCGCGGTGCAGAAAACGGGCTGGACGCGTCCGCTTGGAACAACGGCAGGAGTACAGGAGGAAAGACCCGGGGACTGCAACACCGGGAGTTAGCTGACAGGCGTTAACAGCGAGACTTTTCCCCGGGAATAACCTCCTCCTGAACCAGCGGACAAAGCAGCGGCGCGAACGGTCGACGAATCTCCCCTTTCCCCCCTCTTCTCCTCCGCTTCCTGCACCGCAACAGAGACAGCGAGACATCAGCAATGTTGCTGCTAAACGTGTAGGATTTATCCCCGGTGTCCGTTTCTTTGTATCGACTGTAAATACAACTGAACAGAGACAATAACAGCGGGGTTCACTATGGTTTTATTGGCATTCCGCAATAGGAGATGTCTTAATAGCTGCTGTATGGGGACGTTATGCTTGCAGTTGTTGCTGTGGATTTTATGTGCCGTGAACGGAGAGGAGCAGCCGTTCAGTGTAGAGGTAAGAGCAGGGACCGTTATGTTTTCACATACCATTTGCATATAAGAACAGGACATGAGCTCTTTATCCAATAAGTGTGTTTTTGTGTTGTTTTAATTTTGAATTATAAAGCATTTGAAGCACATTGTTGCCCATGTTTAGTCTGTGTTGATGTTTCAACAACAGGCTCTTTGTGAGGAGCCCAGCTGCATGGTACTTCCATCATGTCCTTTTTTCACTTTGGAATTTTCTCTGAATGAAATGTATGCTCCATCAGTTCAAATATGTATCACTAACCTAATGTATGCCCCGTTATAACTTGTGCATTTTCCCAAAGTGGGCTAACCTTTCAAAAGATGTCAGTACCAAAGTAAGAAGTAATGTAATTGGATTACATTACAAAATAATAGAGAACGTCTCCAAAAGACAATATAGACTAGTTTAATCTCTAAAAAAAGTTATCTCTGCATAAACTTTAATATATGTATTTGAACTTGTACCATTATAAACAAAGGCAGCACATGCTCTAGGTCTAGTTCTGTTGAAAGAGATCTTATGTGTTCACAGTCAACCATGCAGGCAGCTAGAGGAGATGTTAACTGACTGAGAGGTTTCTTTACAAAGAGCGCTTTTATTCTCATCTCATAATGGATTGTTAAAAGCCTTCAGGCAACAGCAATTAACTTTAACACTCAATCATCCTGAAGCAGAATCAGTGTTTATAGTTTTGTCCATCAATATTCTGCAGAAGCTTTTCTTCCATGGGTAAAGAGAGAACATTGGGTTTTATCGAGGGTACATCTGTCTTCTTTACATCCTTTTTTGTTTCCGGATCAATTCACCTCTGTTTAGCCAAAGAGTGCATACGGCTATCATAAAGTGTGACACCGCAACCCCTCGCTGTCTCTCACACTTGGCTGCTCACAGAGACACCACACAGAACATCCTGGCATGTCTACTGAAAGTCATCAAGTCCTGCATTCACATATCCACATGATTTGCAAGCTTGGCATGCCACACTGTTCCCATTGGAGAGGCAGGGAGCCGATTTAGTCCAGATGCTACAGATTATTATTCAGTTAAAATGTCCAAGCTCACATGACAGACCATTGTCCGATAAAATGACCAAAATAACCTTAACTCTCCGCCAATCAGATGTCAAAACCTATTATTTTCAAGCGATTACAGCTAGGCTAGTATTGTTATAATCATCATACAGTATTTCATAATTTGTTTCAGGTTTCTTACTTGGCTTCACATTCCCTTCTCCCACGTCCTCTGCGCTGACTTGCATGTTATTATCCTCCCACAGCCTTTGCTTCTTGCCCTTTCTTTTCAGAGCTTTTCTTTGTCATCATTTCATGTGAATGTACTGTAAACCAGGCACCCTTCCTATTTTACATGTGTTACTTGTATTTCACAAAACTAAGCCTGTGGCAAGAGAAAACTATAAAATGCAAAACCTTTGACTTTTAAGTCTGCGCTTAGCCCTAAGAATAAAAACATAAGAAAACCCAAAACCGTTGCTTTAAGAATAGGTTGTCTTTTGAATAAATGTAAAAATAACAGTCATTTCTGCATTTGCAAGAGTAAAGCATTATCAGATCAGTTTTAGATATGGCAATCTCCTGCTCTGCCTATCATGTGTCCTGCCAACAGAAAGCATGAATACACGTGGTTACAGTCGCTTCATATCTGCGATCACTGTGTTTACAGCTTCCTGACATACTGGTATGTGTCGCAGGAAGCTTCCCAGTTAGTACAATAGGATATTTCAAGATGCCAATTGTATCTGTGTGTAACAGATGAGAATACACACTCAGTGGGCTATGCATTGGAAACAATGTAATTCAAAATACAACTTTATTTGACCCTAAGGGGTAGTTGAAGCAGGATAAAGCTATAGTCTAACATTTGTCTTACTGTGAGTGCTTTGTAAATAGTTTTTTTCTGGCTTCAAAAGCCCAATCCAGCAGTATTATACTCTGTTAGACAGCATTATAAAGGCAGTAACCGGATGACTAATGTCCCTCTGTGGGTCTGTGATGTTTTAAACCGTTTTGGGCTTGTAAAGAGTGGAGGGCAGTGTTAAACGTGTTTCATTGGAGCCATTTGTTATGGCTTTTCCAAATGGCTGTAGTACTGACTTCCTGGATTTGACTTCATGGCTGAGTGTATTGCCAATTTTCCAATTTCTTCCAATTTTCTTTGCTTTGGACGACTTTTTACAGAAAGTACAGGCTGTCACTGGGTGATAAAACAATAATGAATACTCACTTGTAACACCTCACTTCAGTCTAACACTACAGTCTGTGCTTATGCTGAAATATTTCCCGAAAGCTCTTCAGCTTTTGTTTATCCGTTTGTCTTCCCTCGAGAAGTAATTTTCTCTGCAAATTATACAATGTCGTTAACAATGGCACAGGCGCGACTTAATTTCATTTATCTCCTTGTGAGTTTTATTTTCTGTTTCAATCCTTATTGGTTTTATATGAAGTCATGTTTTAATATTTCTCTGCGAGGCAGCATACAGTAGGAAGGCTGTGTAAGCAGTCAAGCTATCATGGGTTATTTTCATCATTAGCTTTTACATAACACATTCATTAAAAGACAGATTGGATTTTTAAATCTCTTTTCCCTGTCTGTGTTTGACACTGTCACACAGTTAGGATGAAATTTCACTTAATATTGCATCAGAGTTGCCTCCGCTCATCGCCACAGTCACACATCCTGCTCAGCTGTGTTTAACTATTCTCTCAGTTTGTCTAAATTGGTTATTCAAGGCTTTCAATTCAAGATACAGCATCATATTCACCAGGTTAAGAGGCCAATGCGCTGCTCAAACTCTTACCCCTGTGCTGCTTTAAATGGATTGATAATACCAGAAAGCGTTAAGTGCAGGCACCAACATGTTCATTTTAATAATTTTGAGAAGATTTTCAACTTTGTCTTTCCATGTGTGTCAAAACATTTCTGGCTACATAAAATTGAATTGTGATTGCAGTGTTTCCCCTAGGTCTACTGCTTTTGGCGGGGTGCTGTCTCAGCGTGGGGGGGGGGGGGGGGGGGGGGGGGGGGTGGCATTGGGATATGTATTTTTTAAATCCTCTGGAGCAGAGAGTGGAGCCATGGGTTATTGTTATTGTCAGTGTTTCTTAGGGTCGAAAAACACTATATAGATATAGATTAGTATATATATATATATATAATTAAAAAAAAGAATTATAAAAAAATATATATAATTTCTTTTTTTGGTACAATGGTAGGGGAAACACCAGATTGTATCAGTCACACCTATTTCTGTGCTCAATAGTGGTACAATGGAGGCCAACCCGTCATTTAGCATCGCAAAGGCTCCCACGACAAACAGAAATTCGACAATTTTTATGATTTTGAAGCGTAAATGCTATCGCCAAAACTAAAAAGCTTATGTTGGGCTGTAAACTACATCACGATTGCATAGCTGCCCGTCACTGTTTCTGAGCTAAAGGCGGCTAATGTTCAGCTTTATAACGCATTTCCTGACATATTTCATGTCGTAGGACTAAACATGGACATGTCTTAAGCGTGTGTCACCACAGACCTTATGTCAGGCTTTAACCAAACATGTTGGTTAGAGACGAGGGAACCAGATGTGGGTAAATGCTAACTCATTTTCCAGGTGTTAGGACTCATTCCTGAACCACTCAATAATGTCCCCTCCTTTAATGATGTTGGGACGATTTTTCTCACCACAGTAGCTTCTCTGGGAACACAAAAGCATAAACAAGTGCCAAATCCTCATGAGCATCACATTGGTTGGACTTAATATTTCACAGATACATCAGGTGTTACATCAGGTGTTACATCAGGTGTTACATTGAGTGTTTTAACTATGCCACTACACTCACCAGAGACAAAGACAAGTTGCCGAGTCAGAGATAATCTGCTGTACAAGAAAGAGAGCGCAAAGTTGTTCCAGTGTATCTGTTAACACATCCTGTCTCAGATGGAGGAATGAATTAATAAAAGCTGGTTTGGCTAGACTCCGCCGACTGTCAGTTGTAATAACTCCATCAAGGATTTTATCTGTTCCCTCTGTTCGTCTCTCTGTCAGCAAAGTATCTCCACAGTCCATGATCGGATTCCTATGAAATCTGGTAGACAGTAAAACAAAACCAAATGGATTAGATTTTGGTCGGGATCTAACATTCGTCTGTTATTGACTTTCAGACAGATCACATGAAACCGATTTGAAACAAGTACTTGTGATTACGAAATATAAAAACGATGGCAGAATTTGTGTGGTTGTTATTTTAATCACATTTATGGAAAATATCCATTATAAATAACTATACAAATCGTTACCATATTACCTTTCAAATTATTCTCATATTGTCAATTTAAGCCCAAATTTGCACATCACTATTACAAAAATATTAGTCACATTATACCACTGACATTGAAAGGGCTATTGCAGTTTTCAGCACTTGGCTAATGCTAAGCAAAGCTCAGTCCAATGCAAACTACTTAGCGCTGTTGTCACTTTGTGAAGGGTCGGGGGAGGGGGGATAGAGCTTCATTCCTGTCACTGCTCATGTTTCCAGTCGGCATGCTCAGCCTCAGAGTGGCATCTAAATAATGGAAAGCAACTGGTGTGTACGGTGTGTGTGTGTGTGTGTATGATGTGTGTGCTGGACTAAACTGAGGCTTAAATATAACTGAATACAACTCATATGCTCATATTCACACCTCATATTTACTTCACTGGCATGTGTTTCCCCCCCCCCGCATTTCTAAAAATAGCGTGGCAGTACTTTAGTCTTTTTCTTTACTTTCTTGTGCCATGGTTCTATTAACCACGTTAACCCAACTATTCAATATAGTCTCAAATTGAAAACATTTAGCATGAAAATATAGTCCTTTGTTTCTCACATGTTTTTATCCTTATATTTAACAAAACACTTTTTAAATTGTTGCTTTGGTTTCTATGCAGCCATACTTTCCTCCTACATACAGAACAAGCTTACCTTCTTTGTGTA